CGCGCAGCCGGGCCAGGGCCCGCCCGCCCGGAGGGGACCCCGCGGGCCCCGAGCCTGGCCGCGGCGGGCCTAGGGCTGCCCCGGGAGTGAGAGAGGGAGGGAGAGGGAGGGAGAACTGGGCCGGCGGGCGAGCGAAGCCGATGGCGGTGCTGGGCAGGGAGCGAGCGAACGGCCGGGCCGGGCGAGCGGCAGTTGCCGGCGGTTCCTGCTCGGGCCGGACGGAGGACGCGGTCCCCGGGCTCTCGCTGCCGCCGGGTCTCCCGCCCTCCGAAAAGCCCCTCTGGTTTGTGGGGGATGAGAGCCGGGCGTTCAGCTCCCGCTGGCGGGAGCCACGCACCCCGGCGTCCCCGGACATCGCTCCGCGCTCTGCTCCGCCGCTCGGCCTTTTTGTGCGCAAACTGGCGGGGGGGCGGGGGGGACCCCTTCCCTCAGCCCGTGCGGTCCCCGTTATCCTGTGCGTGGCTCGGGGCTGCTCACCTGGGCCTGCCCGCAGAAGGGTGCTGCCAGTTTGGTGGCTGCTTATTTCTTTAAATAAAGGTGGACGTTGAATGGCAATGTATGGTTTGGTTTGGCTTGATACCGTAAAAAAAACCAAAAAGTAAACTGAACTAAATAACCCGTGGTCAGAATGAAATGGACTTGTGTAGTTGCACCAGTGTGACTTCATGTGTTTAATGGGCTGTCCCGCCAGCTGCGGGTTAAAGGCAATGGTGCAGAAGGTTTCCAAGGAGTCATGGTGCTGCAACAGGAGCAATGTGAAGGGAAAAGCCACAGCTGTTGAGCAAGCTATGGCAGAGATGTCTGGAGGTGCTTCCTAGGGTTTTTTATAGTTATAACATTAAAAATAGTGTCATCCTGTGGAAAAGGCTAAAAAATGTGCTGTGCTAGTGCTTGAGTAAAATAACTACAGGCCTGGGATGAGCAAGAGGCATCATGAATTGTAGCACAGAACAATGATGACCGGTGTAGTAATCACACGGGAAATCAGGTAAGCACGTTGTGATGGTCAGTTAATGTAGGTCTCTCTTGTTCTTCAGGTAAAGCAAATTGAAAAACGAGACTCTGTTTTAACATCAAAAAACCAAATTGACAGGCTGACCCGACCTGGATCTTCCTATTTCAACTTGAACCCTTTTGAGGTTAGTTTGAACATTTTATGCTCCCTTCTGAATTGTTATGCTAACCTCTTAATTTACTGGGTGTTTATTTCAGTGAAAAGACCGAACACAAAGAAAGAAAAAAAATCTCTAGATACAGGTTACTGTGCAGAAGGTTTACAGAATACAGAAGGATGGTGTATGTGTGCTTTCTGCCTTTTTCACTGTTTTATGGCAGGTGCAAACTATTCATTTGACACGTTTTCCTCATGCAACAGCACCGAAACATTTGGCAGATTAATGCCAAATCTGAACGAGAGTGTAACAGCTACAGGTAGATGCTTGTCAGGTTCTGTTCTGAGCACTCTTGACTTGGCATTTCTACTTGTGTCTTATTTTGGATGTTTATGCCACTGAACTTGCGTAGTGCGTAGCACGAGAGGAGGACTCTCACTGTTCACAGTATCTTTAAGGAATCACTCGAAAACAGGTAGTTCCTGTGCACATTACATAGTTTGATTTCAGTTGCAGTCAGTTATAATGTCTAAACAAGTGTGAAAGCCTGAGGATGACAGTAAATAAAACAATCTGGTGTTCATCTGGAGCTGGCTTTCCCCTTGTGTGTTCCTTCGTTATATCATCTTCATCTGCCTTTTTAAGCCTTGGGTGCTTTTTGTAGTCCCAGTTTAGGGCTGGTCAACCACATCAGTTGGTAGATTCACCTTGACAATGTTCATTTCTGTGTAGATCTTAGTACTTGAGTTGGAGAGTAAATTAAGCAAGGCATTTAGAAGTAGACTATAGTTTTCCTGTGAGAGTTTTATTTACAATTTTTAGTGTCAGACCAGTGTGCATCTGCATTGAGTGGGCTCACTTGTTGCTTAGGACTTCTGTTCAGTAAATTAATTCATAGAAGAGCTCCTAAACTCTGCCATATCCCTAAAGATCAGTAGACAAGTGGACTTGTTCATGGAAACCAAAGAGTAAAACTCTCCTGTCTTCTTTCAAAAGGATAAAATTAATAAATTCTTGCGAAGTTTCCTGCCTGAAGTTCTTAGTTATGAATGATCTGATAGTGTCCCAAAGCCACCATATGCTTCCATTTCTACCAAACTAAGCATTGGTACAGGGCTGGTTGAAGGTTTATACCAATTGTGGCTGTTTAGGGATGGCAGCTGTCTACATGAGCCTTGAGTGTGGAAAGGACACTGGCATAGTCAGAGGAATCTAGCGTTGCTGAAAGTAGAATGTCCCAAACGCGGTGTCTCTGAAAATGTTTCTGTTTTACTAGATGAAAATTCATGTCCTGAAGCAGGTCCCCAATGGGGGGAGCTTTCTGGTGTTGTGTCTGTATGCCTGTGAACCACGTGTTGAGAGCTTGCTGCCACGATCCTGAAATGTGGGGAGTGTCATCAAACTTGCTCTGCTCTCATGGTCTCTTCTAGGTACTGCAGATGGATCCTGAAGCCACAGATGAAGAGATAAAGAAAAGATTCCGGCAGGTATTTGGTTTTTGCACTTAAAGCCTCTGGAAGGAAACTAGAAGCTCTGTAGAGATTGTGCAGCTATGCTTGGGAACAAGAAAAATGGTGGTAAAGCTGTATCTGGGTAGAGGAGTAGCCATTTTGGGAAGAAATGCATAGACCAATCTTTGTATGAACAAGAAGAGAGCTGCAGAAGTGTCCTCGGTCCATGCATGGAATGCTGCTTTGCCTGTGAAGTGTGTTGACGGGGCTATTGCAAACTCATGCCCGTGCATAATCAGCTTACTGAGCATTACTTCAAAGAGGTCAAAATTTGTCAGAAATTAGGAACTAAGAAAAGGTATTTTTCTCAAATATATGTATTTTCTGTGATGTTTCTTTAAGAATTTCAGCAGTCATTTTTGGTGACTGGGTTATGGGGACAGCAGCAGCCCTGCTCACTGACCCGTCTGCATTGCCCATGCGACACAGGAAGCATTACCCCAGGCTTACTCTGCTGACAAATCTGCAGGAGAAGGTTGAGTTTTAATCATTGTGTGCAGCAAAGAAACACAGCATTTGGAGGGCTATAGCCTCCCACCGGAATTAGTGGTATAAATGTCAAGAACTGTCTTTAGAGAGGAAGCTGTGCTGGCTGAGAGGAACACGCCGGCCAAGCTGGTGATGGGATATGTATGTAGGAAGTGGGAGGGTAACCTTTTAGTCTGTTGCTGACTTCTCAGGTTTGCAAAAGTGGGTCTGTCATAGCTTTAGGCTGGTAGAATACTACAGGGAAGGGTTCTGAAGTCAATGTGATGAAATGGAAAAAAGCACATGGAATTGTGTGTTGAAAAAATCAAACACCTAAATACAGAACGTGGAACAGCCAACAGAAGGAAAAAGACATTGGTTCTAGCAAATCCCAGAGTGAATTGGCAGTATGCTGCTGTTTAGGACTAGGGGCAAACCTTTTTCCTGTGAACTAGAAAGTGCCATCAGCAAAGTTCAGGAAGTAATTACTTTGCATCCTTTGGCACTGATGCAATTTTAATTGCTGCACTGTGACCAGTTTTGAATGTTATACTAGGAAAGATGCAGGTAAACTAGAGAGTCCATACAGCAACAGCAAAAAAAAGAGGCCTGAAAAAAAATGCCATGTGGGGAAAATTTGAAAGAACTTTCTCTGGAAAAGAAAGCTGGAAAACATGTGCTTTCAGCCCATTTAAGGTTGCCCAATAGCCCATTAGTGATCAATATAGTGTCTCTGCTGGATAGAGGGTACAGGAAGGAGTTTTCTTAACTTTCAGTAAAGGAGCCTAAGGAAAAACTTACCCACTCTTTTAAATAGTTTGATATTTGAACAGCCCTAGGGATACTGGAGAACTTCTTGGGAGGCATAGTTGAGTAAAAGGTAAACTTTCGTAGAGGATGATCTTTGTCTGTTTGTTTCTTCGTTTGTTTCTTCTTAAGACCAAGGATACAAAACTTGGGTTGGTATCAGCCCCAGGCACTGCAGCTGAAGGGTGTTTATGTTGCTCTGCACATCCCAGGCTGCAGCTTTTTTTCAGTCTGTTTCTTACAGGGATTGTATTTGATTTAAAAGCTTTTACCGATGCATGCTTCTACACATTATCATCTGGTTTGTCAATATACAGTGTGATTCCTTCTTTCTAAGACTATTTTCCTCCCTTCGAAAAAATCTGAAATATTTTTCATGTTTTACAATGGTCTTGATAGCAAGATCCTTTCTCTTGCAGTTGTCAATATTGGTGCATCCAGACAAAAATCAAGATGATGCAGATAGAGCCCAGAAGGCGTTTGAAGGTAATGCTCTCACCCTTTTTCTGGGCTGGTGTAGTTGGGCTGCTATTTTTCTGTAGCTTGTTTAAATGCTTATTAGGGCTGGAGGCCCCACTGATAAATAAGAATTACTGTAGAGATGTTTACCATGAGGAAGGAGAGGTGTGGGATGGCATTCCGGCAGAGGATTCGCTAGGTGGCAGTACTTGCATTGTCAGTTTGCAGCGTGGAGTGGACGAAGAGGCAGACTGAGGTCGGAGGTGCAACCACAATTGTTTATTACAAGCAACACTCAACTCACACAGTCTTTCAGATCACTCAGTCCTTTTCCACTAAGTCCATCAGTGTTATCATCTTGCCCAATCAACATCTTCTTGCAA